AATTCTCTTTTCTTCCAATACGTGATTAATACATTCTTTGGCCAAACATATCATCTTTTCGTTCAAAGTCTCGCATTCTTCACTTTGTCATAAACTTCATCTTCAAAGAGTTTAATATCAATATAATGATGAACTATATTTATAAAATCATTACTCTTAAATCTTTTTGTCTTTTCTTCTACATTCCGATCATAATTTTTCTCACTCTTATTTCCTCCCTTGATCCAAACATTTGTTTTTCTTTCTTCCTCCCTTGATTGGAACTTTAACTTTGATACCAGTTGTTGGAAAATCATCCGAGAAACAAGTATCTTCGCATGCAGAAGTACACCCGCAAAAGTAGAAAAAGAAGCAAAAAAAAATACAAAAAAAAAATTCACAAATTTATTATTCAACTTCTAATATTTACAAGGACAAAAAATACAAAGTCTTTATTACAATTACAATTTTTCAAGGAGAAAATTGCAAACCCTCAAAACTATAATTTTTGAACGAAAAATTTACACACCCTCTCAACTATAAATTTTAGATGGAAACATTAAAAACCCTTTCAGCTGCAATTTTTTGACAGAAAAATTGAAAACTCTAGCTATAATTTTTAGACGGAAAAATTAAAAACCCTCTTAACTGCAATTTTTGGACGGAGTCGATGGTTCGAGTAAGGGATCGGCTCCTTGTATCAAAAGTCTTCTTGACATGGTGGTAATCTGGCGGCGTGTCCCGTTGAAGGGCACATGACGTAGTAAGGATGTCAACGACATTATAAGTTTATGTGGATGGAAATGCTTCTACTTGAATGGGAGCATAATGGATGGACTAACATTTTAAGGGGAGATTGTTGAGACTCAAATGTGAGTTAGAAGTCCCGTCACTATTATAAATATTACATTTTATGACAATATTTTCACCTCACGTAACAAAACATCGAGGTATAATACCTTAACGCACCTTTTTTTGTTTTTAAAAAGAACAAATTATTCCCTCGATTTTCTAGAAAAATTGAGGGGTGAACTAATTCAGGTTATCCTAGCAACTTCAGCTTATGCTTCAAATTAGTTTGGCCATCGATTTTTCTAAAAAAAAGGAGAGGTAAACAGGCACAAGCTTCGAATCCCAACAACTTCAGTTTATGTAATGTTTGACAATTTTATGATGTTTATTGTTATTACTATGAGTAGCTAAACCCCCACCCCCAATGCTAAGGTTGTCCTTATTCTTGAATTTGTTAGCTTTCTGAATTGAACCTTGTAATGAATTATATTTTATCTTTATCTGATTTACTTCTAAATAAGTCTAATGCTTTCTCTTTCAGTCAAATTAAGAATTGATTTATGGTTATCTATTAGGAAGGACTTTCAACAGTAACGTTTGATTGGAGTATTTTATATTAGATATCACTTAAGACTAGGAATACCGTATAGAAACTGACATATTCTGGATAATTAAATGCTTAATTTCATTTGTAATTTACTATGTACATAGGAATTAATTTGAATGTTTAAAGATTTATTCACTAAGACCTTAGGAGTAAACACCCTTGAGAACCGATAATTAGTAGCATAAAATAAATTATTACAAGGTCAATTTAGGATTGTTAATATTCAGGTTCAAACACCCATTCCTAGCATGCTTTTCCCATATTATTTTATACTCTAATAAATTGCTCTGGGCCAGTGGAGGAGGAATGTCGTTAGTGTAGAAGACTTCACGCCATATTAGTTCCCAAAGATTGTTGAGCGGTGTGAAGTTCTCAGTGGATCTCCCATTATGTTTGATGGTTGCTCAATCTCTTGCAGGCGGGGTGTAGTGGCTCCTATGTTGTTGAAGCGGTGCGTCAAGAGCATTAGATGTTCGTCTGTTACTCTCCTCACCCTCGATATAGCATTTGGCCCACACAGCGATTTATGCCATGGAAGTCGTCGACCTCTAGACGAGGGACTCATTAAAGTGTTTGACCCTTAAACCATTGTGGAACACCCCAACGACCATTTCTTGGCTCAAATGTATGAATTTGATTTTTTCTTCATTAAAATGGATAAGATACTCCATCAACGAATCAGAGGACCTCTAGAGGACATTGAAGAGGCTTGTGGTTGATAACTTTTGATGCTTACTTCCATAGAACTTGTGGATTAATTTCTTCACCAATTCTTTGTAACTAGTAATCGACAAGTGCGGTAAGTTCATACACCATCTTAGTGTGGCATCCTTAAATGTTATGGAGAGTGGCTTACACTTCAAGGAGCCATTGACGTTAATGATAGTCATCTGGATGTTGATGGAGGTGACATGCTCTTGATGCTCACTTTTTTCGTCAATCTTTGTCAATGAGGGGGCTTTGAAAATTTCTGACACGCAGATCCTTCAAATTTCTTCTAAAAGAGGATACCAATTGATGTCTAAGATGATATCGGTTTATGTGGTATCTCGTGTTTTCACCATCTTAAGGGTGGCGGTCGAGGCAATTTTTAGAGTGAATACAGGTGTGGTCTAGGTTAGTTTTACATTATAGCCCCATGGTAGACGCCAATTGTACTTGCTAAAGGTACAATAGTGAGAGAACGAGGATCTTCTCACGTAGTGATTGTAAAACATCATATGCTCTTCTCTCCTAAAATATGTGTTTGATCTTCTGACCTTAGAGACTAGGTCATTTATAGAGATACCATGGTCTTAGCTAAGAGCGGTTTTCATAGCTTCATTATCAAGAGCGGTTTCCATAGCTTCATTATCAGGAACGTGGAGGCAAAGAAGACTAGTTCTTCTAAATCATTGTGAGACGATTTTCCTCCCTCTCTTACATCCTTCCACTATTATTACATGTGTGATAAGTTGGCAGATTATTGGTGGTGAAACTAAGCGTTGTTGGATGGCTCGTTATACCCTTCAGGCAACACATCCCTTTGGGTGCCTAGGCCCATTTCGGGTGACTAGCCCACTTTGGGTGTTTAATTCCCTTTTTTCCCTTTACTCGGTTCTACCATGGGATATTTTGTCATGGATCATACCTTATTCATGCCTAAATAAATTATCACATTCTAGATGTGTTGATTCAGAATATGTAGGTGTTATGGATGATAGGAGACCTACACATGATATGTATTCTCTTACACATTTTTTGGAAATCATCAATTTAATCCATAGTGGTTAGGTCTACAACTAAAGCAAAGTATATGGCGGATGTTAAGTTTTCCAAATAGGCTTTATGGCTCTCGGATTTTGTGAAAGAATTGGGGGTTAAGCAAAGAAAAGTCCAACTACATTGTGATAGCTCGAGTATCATTTCCTTATAAAATAATTAGGTGTATCACGCTGGGACTAAGAATATGAATGTAGGTTTCGATCAGTGAGTTACATGCATATGGACATATATTATTTGAAATAGTTCACACTTTAAAGAGTGCAATCAATATATTGACAAATTCAAGTATTACTTGAACTTACTATATATTTTTCAGTATTAAGCACGAGTTTCACCCCCTTAGTTGTCAGAATGTGAATGTCATGCAGTAAACCTTCATTGGAGTTCAGTGTTCACTATACAAGGTTGTTAAGTATAGCTCGTAATCATAAACAAAAGGGCATGAAGCGAGGGAGTCGAGTGTAACGAGTGAGGCAACTTTCTCCCTTGCCCTTGTGTTTGGACCAAATATTTGTTGAAGGGGTCGACTGGGGATACAGTGATCGATAACCCTGCGATACAATTCCAAGGTATTATTAGAATTTAGACTGTAATATTATACATATTTGTAACAAGACAGATTCTTAATGCACTCTTATTAGTGGTGAATTCAGAAATACATATCTGAAATGTGAGAAATTTCGAAAATGCATATCCGAATTGTGTCAATTTGTGAAAATGATAGTTTTGAATATATATATATATATATATATATATATATATATATATATATATATATATATATATATATATATATATATATATATATATATATATATATATATATATATATATATATATATATATATATATATATATATATATATATATATATATATATATATATATATATATATATATATATATATATATATATATATATATATATATATATATATATATATATATATATATATATAAAAGAGTATTTTAGACATTTCACATAAGATCTCTTAGAAGGTGCAAGGGTGCATTAAGAAATAACCTTGTAACAATGTAAACTCTTATTCATTCAAATAATAGTAAGAAATTAAAGTTGTTTTAAAGTCACATATGTAAGGTGTTCGTTGTTGTGTGATTCATCATTTCTTAACATTCTATCTCATACATGTCCATATTTTAAGTAATCTCAATTTATTCTTACTAATTTGAGAGACATAATTCTAACTAAACACGTTTTATAACAACAAACAAACATGCATGTGCTCATACAAACAAACAACCATGCATGTGCTCCATTGTAGAGTGACAATGAATGTTGTAATGGCAGGCAATCTTGGTCGGATCCTGAATCAATGCTTTAAAATAAATTATGTCATGTGACATAAACATTCAAATCAACACTAATCAGAATAAAACATCCTATCAGAGACAGACAGGAACCAAGTACTAGTAGTTACCTACACATTAATGCAAAATAGTATTATTATTTTCCTAATTTATTAATTTTCATAGGACCCTCCAAATAATGGTGATGACTTGAGAAGAAGAAGAAAGATGAAGATCACGGGTCCTATATATGGTACCATCCCCTTAGAATAAAGTCATAAACTATGCAAGACAGACACACAGACAAAGACACAAACAAAGGTTGAGACATAAAGAGGTGAATATATTTTTCACTAATAATAAAACCGAAATAGAATGACTTTCTGACATTCTCTCTGTGAGAATATAAAAACAGATGAGTAACATTAATGATTAATTAGTACAAATAAGCATAATAATTAAGATGAGAATCTTAGAAACATTGCTGATTTTTTTTTCAAACAAATTCATATTCTTCAGTCACAATGAATCATACAAAGGTAAAAACTTCTCAATCGGATGAAACAGACAATCTATCCAAAGCATCGAGTACATGCCTCATTGTAGGTCTTTTTTCAGTGCTGCTATTAACACAAGCCATAGCAATCTTCAAAACTTCAATTATCTCTTCCTCTTTGTCCGAGTCTTCGGCCAAATATGGATCTAACACATCCGAGAGTGGCTTCTTCTCTTCGATGCAGAACTGAATCCATTGAACGAGGTTCATTTCTGTGTTACCTACTTGAACAATAGGTAATCTTCCTGTGATCATTTCCAACAAGATCACGCCGTATGAATAAACATCCCATTTCTGCGACGGTTTCACTACTTTTAATGCTTCTGGAGCTTGATAGCCATTTCCTAAAATACTTGTTGCGGTTTCATGGGACAGACTCTTCTGTCTATCTTGCAGTTTTTCTGCAGCCACTCGGTTTGATTGAAGGGTCGGGGAAGTGCCTGCGATGTTTGCGAGGCGACCTAGTCCGAAATCAGAAATGTAGGGTGTCATGTCATGTCCGAGAAGTATGTTACTTGGCTTTAGATCTCCATGGACATACTTTTTGGGGCTGAATTCATGCAGGTAGACCACACCTCTTGCTGTTCCTTTCATGATTTTCAACCGATCCGACCAAGTTAGCGGCACAAATGTGGCAAGTCCAACCTTCCCTGAAAATATAATAAAAAAGCAGAACCAAATAATCAACAAATCAAATGAAAGTGCTACGTATTAGAGTTTGACCTAACTCATTCCTTACAAATTCATGGGAATAAGCTAAAAACATGGTGCCAGAGTCTGGTTTAAGATATGTTGCCACCACCTATCAGGTTTCCGCAATCAGATAAACAATTTATGGGAATAAGCTAAAAGCAACTTATGGATATGCCATAAAATCACTCCGATGGTCTCAGAAGTGTTTAACTCAGTAAATAAACTCAAATAAATCAATCGAAATAGGCCTAAAATGTGCGACACTTACCATGAATTGCGGTAGCAAGGCTTCCATTTGGTACATAATCATATATGAGAAGCTTCTCATCAACAGACCAGTAATAGGCTCGAAGAGTAGCAACATTTGGATGTCTCAACTTCCCTATAGCTTCAACTTCCGTTTGAAACTCTTTAAACCTTTGAGAACCACCTTCCCCCAATCTTCTCACAGCCAAAGCAAGCCCTTCTTCAAGCACAACTTTGTACATAATCCCTATTCCACTCTTACCAAGAACGAAAGCCGAAGCCTTAAGAAGCTCATCCAAATCAAAAGCAACTTGTGAATCTAACGGAACAAGATCATATTGCTCAACATTATCAGATAGTACCTCAGATCCATCTTTTCTGAAACAAAAACACTCTTTCCCTCTTTTCATTCCCTTGTTGTTAACATCATTCTCATCATCCTGATCCTGATTAAAACCGCAAACCCTCGAGTAAAAGAACGAAAACAACAAACCTAAAAGACAAATTCCTATCAAATCACCAACAACAATCCCAACCACAGCACCTTTACTCAGCCCTTTGTTTTTCACAGAACCAGGAAAGTTTGGATTTGAGGAAGGTGAACTAGTAGCTGGAGCAGGAACAGGAACATCGGAGCCACATGGATTCCTCAAAGGTGGGCCACATAAGCCAGGGTTTCCAATAAAAGCAGTAGGTCCTCTATTCATCAAAGCACCATTTTGTGGTATTGAGCCACTCAAATTATTGTATGTAAGATCAATATAAACCTTCTCAGGCAAATTTCCAAGACTAGCTGGAATTGAACCACTAAAATGATTATGAGACAAATCAAGATTCCCTTGCAAACTTGACAATTTTCCAATGTCACCAGGAATCAAACCATGAAAATCATTGAAAGAAAGATCGAGCTTCTCAAGAGAAGACAAACCAGCACCAAATCCATCAGGCAAAATGCCAGTAAAATTGTTTCTACTCAAAACAAGAGCTTTAAGTCTCTTACATTCAAGAACTGAATCAGGTAATGACCCATAAAAGATATTTTGAGACAAATCAAGAGTTTGAAGGTACTTAAGATTCTGAATCTCATTTGGGACAGGCCCAGATAAGGAATTTCCATAAAGCACTAAACTTTGAAGACCTGTGGCTTGAAAAAGGTCTTGAGGTAAAGTACCAAAGAGTTGATTGTTTCTGAAGTTGAGATGGCGAAGATTTGAGAGAGATCCTAGAGAAGGAGGGAGAGAACCGTGAAGTTTCCTTTTCGGGATACTGATGGAAACAACGGTTTGGTCTTTGCATGTGATTCCGTTCCATGAACATGGGTTTTGGTCAGAAGAGTTCCAGTTGTTCATGGAGCCTTGTGGGTCTGTGATGGATTGTTTGAGTGTTAAGAGGACATAGCCTTCAGGGTTTAGAGAGGTTACTTGAGGTGTGAAAGTGGTGAAGAAGAGAAGAAGATGGAGGAAGATGAAAGGGAACATTTTTGTGAATGTGGCCGTTGGAGCAAAGAAAGGTTAGTGAAAAGAAGAAAGAGATGAAGGAGAAGAGAAAGGTGGAAAGAAAATAAGAGACAACAATGGAAGGTGTTGAGAGAGAGAGAGACCTCGGAGAGACAAAATCCAAGGTTAGAGAGTGTCTCAGAATGAATGAGTGATAAACAACTCACGCGCGAGACACTAATATCCTTTTTTCAATTTCTCGCGATATTTCTATTTTCAGTTACATAAGTTGTCGAAAATAACTTTAGTCAAAAAAAAAATTGTTGTCGAAAATAACACTAACCTTTTGTTTCTATAATTATTATTGATTATTGAAAAAAAATTTAAATAATCAAAATTTTCAATTTTAATATCCAATTAACTAATTTGTTTTCATAATTTTCAATCTAAGTATCTTTCAAACAAAAAAAATGAATAAAGAGAATCTCTATCTATTTGAATTGGTGTCTCTTGTTTTTTTTTCTTTCTAATTATTTGTTGATTTACATGCGAATTTGAATATATCTGCGGATTTATTTGCATATTTACCTGTACACTTGTAAGTAAATTCGCAGAAATATTCGCAAGAAAATTTGCAGGTAACACTAAATTCACATGTAAATCTGCAAGTAACTGAATATATATATATATATATATATATATATATATATATATATATATATATATATATATATATATATATATATATATATATATATATATATATAAAAGACGCAAATTCAAGTAACGTCTCTTCTTTAATTTATTTTTTTTATTGAAACATAATTAAATTAGAAATTATAGAGAAAAGTTGGTTAGTTAGATATTAAAATTGAAAATTTTAGTTATTTAAAAAAAATTCTTGATTATTAATTTTCTTGATTTTATATAATTATTATTGATTTTCTTGATTTTATGTGATTGTAATTGATTATTAATTTTCTTGATTTTATGTGATTATTATTAATTATTGGTTTTGTTGATTTTATGTAATTATTATTGATTATTGATTTTCTTGACAATAATGTGATTTTTTTAAACAAAGAGAAAAAACTTTATTTATTTTTGAAAATATCCATAAAGGTCTAATAATGTGATATTGTTACCTATGATACCAACATTAAGATTTATGCCCCTTTTGTTTTAAGTTCTAGAATAATATATTTTTTTAAATCAATTTTATTTAAAATATAAAAAGTTTTTTTAAGTTTATTTTTTTATAAATTAAATAACTAATTTTGATTTTTTTTTTGGAAAAATCAATTTGATATAATCAAAAATAAATATAAGGTGATCTAAAGAACCAACCCACAACGACTAAAACAATTAAAAAAAAACTCAAATTCAAACTACTATATCAACCAACAAGTAGCATGCTCACGTAATTTATGTTTAGTCCACGATCTATAAACAATTACGAATATAATTTTTTTACTTACTCTTATTTTCATATATCTTCTCATTTTTATACCTTCGACACTCATATATTGTCTATGTAAATGCAGCTTTTAGGATTTTGGCCTTACAGCTCTTACCTTTACTAGTCTGAATAACTCACTTTAATTCCTCATTCAAATTACTAAGAGTATGTGTTAGGATTGGGCTTCCTTCTTATATAGAGAAAGACTCAAATATGAATAACATATTTGCCTTACTTATTTAAGTGGAGAGAATCAATTTAAGGTTAAGAGAGATAGAGACAAATAAGGATTCAAAATAGAAAAAGATGAGAGAAACCTATTCGCGTTTTTCTGCAATCAGTCTCACTAAATCAACGATCCCAGATTCATTAAATGTCGGATCAAGCTCAAATTTTGAGGGCAAGTTCGTAACACCTGTATCTAAATTTTGACCTTTGAGATCTTCAAAACAAGGTCTAAGCTGAGAGCTATCTGCTTCGCACTGAAGCTGCATATTTGGGTAATTTTTCAGCTTTTTTATTCTTATTTGTAAGCTAGTTTGCTTTGTGATTTGTGATTGTTAGCACTAGTTTTTGAGTAAATTTAAGACTCTCTTGTACCTTTAATTGATTATAGTGGAGTTATTTCTTTGGTTTGTACGACTCATGGTTTTTACTCTCATATTGAGGGGTTTTCACGTAAAAATATCAGTGTTTATTTGTGCCTTTATTTGTTCGATTTGTTGTCATATATTTGTTGTTGATCCTAAAAGATTTTTACAAGTTTGAAGAATTTTATATTTGTTGCATATTAGTCTGTTATTGTTCTTAATTTCGCATCAGAGTGGTACCAGAGCTCTTGGTTAAGGGTTATTTTACTTGTTTCAATAATGGAGTCAGATACAAATATGAATATGGTTTTGTTGAATGGTTCCAATTACCATTTGTGGAAGAGCAAGATGAAATACTTACTATTTATGAAGAAATTGCATTTACTGGTTTTTAATTCTGCAAAACCGAATTATGTGTCTGATGAAGAATAGGAGTTTGAATATCAACATGTATATGGTTTTATTCAACAATATGTAGAAGATAATGTTTATAACGATATTGCTAATGAGACACATGCAAAAAAATCATGGGAGAAGATAGAGTCCTTGTGTACCTTTAAATCAGGGAATAATAAATTGTTCTTGTTGAATAGCTTCATAAGTTTGAAGTATAAGGAGGGGACTTCTATTTTAGATCACTTGAGTGAACTTTAAGGACTCTTTGATCAGATGTCATGAATGAGTATCAAATTTGATGATGGACTTTTGGAACTACTTCTAATGCTATCTTTACCAGAGTCTTGGGAGACATTTCGAGTTTTTATCACAATTTTTGCTCCCAGAGGTGTTGTTTCATTGGAAACAACCAAGGGTGGTATTCTTAATGGAGAAATGAGAAGGAAGGCACATAGTTCTTCATCTATATTCAAGGTACTTGTAACTGATAATAAGGTAGAAGTCGGAAAAAGGAATCGAAGGATGGTAGAGAGAATAGTATAAGCAAGTCCAAGCCATGGTACAAGAATCTGGAGTGTCATTATTGTCACAAAACAGGACACATACAGAAGTATTTTTGTCAGTGGAAAAAGGGATAACAAAAGGCAAGAAAGGTAAGTCTAAACAAATAGATCATGAAGATCACGATGATTAGGGGTGTTCATTGGTTCGGGTAAATCCGAACCAAACCATAATGTTTGGGTTGAATATTTTTTCAGTTCGGACAAGAACCGAATCAAACCAATAAAATCCAATGACAATTGGTTTGGGCATCAGATTTTTCAATTTTCTACCCGCAAACCCAACCCGAACCAATCATAATTAACTATCATGAAAATTACTACCAATCATTCAAGTTCAATAAGAAAAATTGAAATGTCGTATGTGGACAAGTTATTTTATTTTAATTTGTTATTAGAAAATTGTAAGTGTATTTTGATAACTGAGCGTAGAGCTATGAAACACATTCATTATCATACTAACTCAAGTGACTAATTATAGATTCAAAAGCTTTGATGTTATATATTTTTCTTGTTAGATATTTTAGAATCTATTAGGGAAAATTTTCTAGTTTAATATTTACGATTAAATACTATTAATACTATATTTTTTATATTATTATGAGAAAATAATTTTCGTAAAGAAGTTATTTTTTCAAATATTTTTGCATTTTTTATCTACCCGGTCAAACCAACCCAAACTAACCTGTTGTTTCTCAATTCGGTTCGGTTTGGGCTTTGTCGCAAAAAATTTCAAATTCAATCCAAACTAGTCCATATAATTTTAATCGGTATGGATATCAGATTCTCTCAAAACCAAACCAAATCGCCCGTGAACACGCCTAACGATGACGATCGTATTACTACTGCTACAAATGGTGATTTGTTATTCTCAGTGATCATGATTATGTCAATATTGTATCAGACGAGAGCATATGGATAGTTGACAGTGGTGCTACATTACATGTTACACCAATGAAGGATTTCTTCACATCTTATACTTCTAGTGACTTTGGAGTGTTGAAGTTGGGTAATTATAGTGTATCTAAGGTAATTGGTGTTAGTGATGTTTACTTGCAAACCAACAGGGGAATGCAATTGTTGCTTAGAGGTATAAAACATGCTCCAGATGTTTGCTTTAATTTGATCTCCGTGCATATGCTTGATGATTGTGGTTATGACAATCACTTTGGTTCTAGAAAGTGGAAACTCGGAAAAGCTTTCTAAACTGTATTGGATAAAATATTTGGTTGCCAGGGACATGGAAGCTAAAATGCGTATGTTTTGATAATGGTGGTGAGTGTTGTGGACCATTTACTGCCTAATATAAGCAACATGGTATTGCACATGAAAACATTCCTCCTAAAACTCCTCAATTGAATGGTTTGGCAGAGAGGGTGAATGTAACACTAATAGAGAGAGTAAGATGTATGCTCTCTGCAGCTAAGTTGCCTAATTATTGTTGGAGCAAGGTACTCTACACGGTGGTGAGTGTTCTTAATCTTACTCATACGGTTTCCTTAAATAGTGAAGTTCTAGAAAAAATTGGTTTGGAAAGAATGTCAAGTATGATCATTTGAGAGTCTTTGGTTGTAATGATTTTGTGCATATTATAAAGGATGAAAGATCCAAGTTGGATGTAAACTCAAAATAATGTATATTCATCATATATGGTCAAGATGAGTTTGGTTACAGGTTGTATGATCCTATAGGGAAAAGATTATCTGAAGTCGCAATGTAGTATTCATGGAAGACCAAACTATTGAAGACATTGATAAGGTAGAGAAAACTACACCCAAGAAATATATCAGTTTGTCTAATATTGGTCAAGTTAGGTTACCTAAACATAATCTAGATGCTATGGTGGTGATGATCAGAATGGTGAGGCATATGATTTTGTTGATGTTCAACAACTTGGAGATGACGTAAATATTCCAACTAATGATGATGAATGGGGGAATGATATGTCACAGGAATAGAATATTGGTGAAGCTCTAGAATCATATAAAGTTTAACTTATGAGGTCTAACAAGCAGAGACAACCTTTAACTAGGTATA